ACATGCAATACTGGCAACAAAAAAAATACAATTAAAGGTTGACTATGCATTTAAAAGGGTAGCATTAGGGTCGGGTTTTAGTATGCAAGTGGGTTTTGGGAGCCACTGCTGTAGACCAATGCATTTGCATCTTGGTTACAAAACAGTGGCCATACTCAAGAATTACTCTAAACAAAGCTGCTTTATACAACTGGATGAGGTAATTAGAAGATTTAATGACACCAAGAATCTTACTTGTCTTGGCTGTTACTTGTTCTCTATGATTTTTTTAAAAATTTAGATTCTTGTTGACTTATAAAGACCTTGGTTTTTCTGATTCACTTACTTTCATTTTATAAATGCTCTTATTTTTGGGAGATCTACACTCCTCATATAACAGGCATTTTTGGGAGTAATATTTTCACATGTGTAAAAACAAACATTTGTATGAAGCAAATGTAACTGGCAGTCAAGAGACGACCCAAAAAAGTAAATTCAATTCCTCCTTCAGTTTTTCTCTTGCCTAGATACCATAATTTCTCACAAATACCTGGGCATCATTTCAGTAAAAACTTCTGCATTGTTGTGAACATGGTGTGATAAATCCTTTAGATATAAACAAAATGCACTAAGCTAAGTATTCTTGCCTGAGGAATATCACCATTTATAACATGCTGGATCTTGTTAGCATTTGAATCACTGCAGGATTTTATATCGGGCACCTCCCACTCTGATAGTAATTTGCAGCATAGTACACTAGCAAATGGAGAACATGGCATCCTTTACTAAAGGCCAAGTCACAGTGCATCTCTTGCCTAGAACTTTTTTTTTTTAACTGCAAGGTACACTCAGTACAAGACCTGGGTGCCACTTCATATAAAGGGTTATGTCAAGCAGTTTATATGGATAGGAGGGAAAGATAATGGTTAACCCTAGACTTGAACAAGTTAACATTGTAATAATTGAGGAAACATCCTCTTGGAAGCATATCTAAAATTTCATCGTTTCATTGAAAGTAAAAATTTTTCAGTTTGGGTTGCAGTAGTTTACTGCTATAGTCGATTTAAGAAATTCAAAGAAAAAAGTAGAGATTAAGAGTGTAATTAATTTGGCTTGACAAGTTAATGCTCTTTATTTTTTCTTTACTAAGGTCTTATTACAATTAATATATAATTTGGCAGCACTTTGGATCCATCACTTCCCACCCTGTTAACAAAAGTGTATGAAATGTTATATTTTAATCTTTGAATTATCCAATGTTCTTAATAATTGATTTTTCATTAATTTTGTAGTATAAAGCAAAAGTAGTATAAAGGTATTTATTTATTTTTTTTTTTAATGGTAAACTAAAATTAAACATTTTTTTTTTAAACACCTTTTAGAAAGAAAAACACAAATTACTCATAAAAAGTGAAATTTTATCAACATATTTGTTATGAATGCTATCATAGAGAATATAACTTTGGTATGAATATGAGTTTTGTAGTATAAAAACAGAAGGGAAGAAAAAAAAAGTCTCAAACATTTTGCACTATGATACTGCATGGAATTGTAAGAAAAAAGAAAAGAAAATAGCATGGTATGTTCATGTGTAATATCAGATGAGACCATCCATGAAAGTACAACATTTTAATTTCTTTTAGAATCCCCTGACCATTATGTTTTGTGTTTTATTTGCAGGTATCTACTGGTAGCTTGCTTAATCCCAAATCATTGGCAGTTATGGATTATGCCTACTACTAGTACCAAGAGATCATCTTCAATGATGTAACTACTCTACTTCAATAAGATCATGGGTATTTTTTTTGATGACTGAGGAAAATTCAAAGGAACTGACCAATTTTTGTTACCATTCGGGCGCAAAGATATGTGTAGTTCCACACAATCACACAAAGACCTTGTACCACATCTTGTTGACAGGGCAAGTTGTGTAAACCTACCACAACCGTTTCATGCAGTCACTCAACATGCTGTAGTAGAAAAAGCTAGAGCACTAAATGACAAGGAGATGAGAGAGAAGTAAAGTTTGGTTGAAAGGAAAGAGAAGCAAAAGCAATATTTTGCTAAACCCATCTCAAAAAAAAAAAGAAAATAAAAATGTTAAGGTAGAGCGGGAGAGCCAAATAATAAGGATGCTGAATAATACAACTGAAACTTTCAAATATCAGATAAACTTTTTATCCATTCAATTTTATATTCATTTCAAAATCTCCCATCAAGAAGAGTTCACATTGTGATCTTTCTTTATAAGCACCTTAACAATTACTGGTAATGTTTAAACTGAGCGCTGGCAAAAAAAAAACAAACAACCAACCAACAAAAAAAAAAAAAAAAACTGTATTAAAAAGCTGGTTTTCTGTTTACACCACTATTACTGTACTCCCTCAACAATGTTTGTTTATAAGGTTATGAACCAAATGCAAAGCAGCATTTATCATTTTATAAAAAAAATAAATATGAAAACTAAAACAAATCTTTTTATTCAAAATTTAAAAAAATTATTTGCAAAAATTAAAATTATAAAAATGTGTGAACCAACTACAATATTTATTATTTTATAAATAACTATCAAACAATTTTTTAATTTATAAAAACATCTATGAACTATAGAATAAGAAAATTTAAATAATTTTTCTAGACATAATGTATTTTCTCACATCATGTTTTAATTTTTGTGGTGAGAACAAATGAAAGAAATGACCAGAATATGCATTTTTTCAAAACTTATAATTAGTAATTAATTTAATAATATTCTTCAATTTTTTCAGATTTAAGAATAAAAACATTTTTCATAATTAATTTATTTATAAAATGATAAATAATGAATTTCATTTTAGTTGGCTTACAATTTTCTAATCTTGTAAATTAAAATTCCGCTTCGGCATGGCTTACATGTTTGGGTTTTATTAAAATTTTTTTTAATCATAGCTTCTTAAAACATACATTGCCCAGGGGGTCAAGGGAATACACTGTATAGTGGTGGCAATGGAATAAGTCTTTTTGATACACTTTTTTTTTTCATGAGAATAATATCGAAGATCATTTCTGAGAAGAGAAAAAATAATTACCATTCAAAATATGGGAAAATTGTGTGCTCGTAAGTTAGAATCGAAATCAGAGACATTGTGGTTAGATTAAGAAGACGACGGCTCAAAAAAGTCGTGACAATGTTGCCATGTGTAACTTAATGCTAAATAAGTTAATACTTCTAGTCAATTTATAAAGCAGTTCTAATTAAAACAGTTTTCGACATCCCGATAATCACGAGTCAAATAGAAATGAAATTTTTTTTTTTCCTGATGGAGGAACACAACAAACATTGATTGAATTGAACGAAGAAAGTTCAACAAACTGAATTTCAGTAAGCAATTTAATTATTTATAAACAATTGGAGCTTAAAATAGGTTGATTTTTTTTTTTTTTTAGAAATATTTACTTCCCAAAGAAAAACATGATCGAAAATAATAACTTGTGAACTGACTCAGCAGAACATAAAGCATTTTTGTTTATTTTTGTCCGAGATTCGCTAAAAGTCATTAGTACATTTTTGTAAGAAATTCTATTTTTCTTATGTAATTTAGTCTGCTTTTGCTCAAATAGGGTTTTCAATTCTTTCAGAATCTTTTATTATTTTTTTTAAATTTTAAAGTGAAAGGAGTAACAAAGTTCGAATTCACAGTTCAAACTGTACCCTTATTTTTATTTTGTCTAAAAAATCTATGACAACGAGTGTTCTAAAATAGACTGCGTATTTTCCGTTTAATTTTAAAATAAAGAAAAAAAATGATCAGTTTACAAAATTTACATTTTTTTGAATTTTTCTGTACAGTTAAACTTTAGTTTAAAAAACAAAGTTAGGAATTAAGGAAAAAACATTCCTCCTTGCTTTCCATATTAAAAAGTAAAACTGACAAAGTTTAACATTGTTGTTAAATTGTGTAAAGTAAAAATAAACTGAACCCCTTTTAAAAATTAATTTATTTCAAGAAGAAATGAATATTCATTCAAAATATATAAGAAAAATATTTTCAATTTTTTTATGCAATAACTCACTACTTCGGTTTATCGAATCACAACCCTCCACCATCGCTCATTTTTTTTTTTAAAGGAAATTATTTCAATTTTTTTAAAAAGAAAGTTTTCCTACGAGTTTCCTGCTGATACAACAACAACTGACACGTCCAAGAATATTTCGTTTATCGTCTCCCCGCCGCCGCTCTTTGAAGTCATTTATGGCGATTGTCGATAAACAAAATATTTGCGTTTCATTTTTAATATTTCCCGTAGATAAGCAAATTGTTACTGGAGGAATTATTGAGAATAGAATCAATGAAGAGTAAAACATTCCTTACATGAATTAATGATAGAAACTTAGTTTCGACCAATAAAAATTCTTATCGCTGCTCGTCTTGGATGTTTTGGAAGTTGTATCTTCCGAGCTTCTCCTGTTGTCGTGTCTTCAGATTTGGTAACCTTCTTGGAATCTTAAAGCGAACGAATCCATTTTTATTCAATTCACAAGAATCGATTGTTCTTATAAGACTTTTTATACTTCAGAGAAATTTCGTATTAATACTCATCAGGCCTATTTATTTAACTTTGTTTATTTTAAAGTGGGTAAAATTACCAAGATTAGCATTCTCGCCCAAATAGCATAAATTTCTCATTTCAAAATGCCGACGAATAGTGACATTTGAAAATTTGACGTTTTTGCAAAGAATAAAATGAAAAAATTCTCTCACAAAATAATGATTATTTTTTAAGAAAAAAAATGCGCAAAAAAAAAAGAAAATCAAGAGAGGAACCCGAAAAAACACTACTATTCTCTGTGTTGCCTTTTAGATTTTTTAAGTATTTTATCAAGAGCCCGATAGACTTCACTTTAATATTCTTTTGTGCACGTATGTGTAGTTACTTTTGAAATACAAAATGTTAGCTGGATAACATCTCATTTTTTCTGTTATTAACAAAAATTAAATGACATTTGTTTTTAATCCCTCAACAATTTTTTTTCTACTTACATTGGTTCGGACTCAGGGGTTTTACTTGAAGCAACCAGCGGAGATAAATCTAATTTCCATTGTTCGAATTCACAAGTACAAGGCCCTGTCATTTTACACGTTTCAGCCGAAGTATAAGTCAAAAGAAATCCGACTAAAACAGAAAAAAAATACAATCTTCTGCTGGTTTCCATCATTTTGGGATTTTCCTGCTCACACACTGGCAGGCGGTGTCACACGAAACAACTTTCGTTTTTAGCGTCATTGTGAAAAGTTTTTTTTTATTGGTTGTTGGCTGAAGAATTAGCCGGTGTCACTACAGTTGTCGTACCTTATAATATTATTTCCATGACACCTTGCTACATAACCGTACTCGCGGATAGTCGCTCCTCTATGGCTTCTTAATAATTGATGATTTACTGTTGACTCGCAAATAGGTCGCACTATAATCTGGGGAGTTACACAGCCCTTTTTAAACGTAAGAATTATCAGATATCTACTTTTATTTCAAAACTTACAATACACTTTTGCAGTTAAGATACATTTTTCGTCAATCATTAAACAAAAGGAAGTAACCAGTATTACCGCATATCGAATCAACTCGACAAAGAAAAAAAAAGAAATAACTACAGAAGAAAATGTTACGGTACATTTAGAAAAAAGTTTTTTTTATCTGTTTATAAAAAGTTTTAAAATTCATTCAGAACTGAATTCGTTTTTTTGTGAAACAATCATTAAAGAAAATTATCTTATAAAGAATATCTTTCATTTCATCTTTCATATTTTCTAACGTATTTTTGACAAAATATGGATAGAATGAATCGTGGAACTATTTTTTCTTTGTCAATAAACATCTACACGTGATTCTTTAACATGTTCAGGGTTTCTATATCAGTCTCTAAGTGCGAGAGCTCCGACCTAACGGTGACTGATGGATCAACGAATATTTTATAATTTTATTTATTTATTTATTGTGATGGATATGTGAATCTAACAGCATGAGGTAAGTAAAGCAGTGAGTCAGTATATTGTTTCTTTACAGAGAAAAACTACAGCTTTTAAGTGTTTATGGGTATCATTTCCAATTTCTCAGAAATGATGACAAGGTAGTGTTGTTTTACATTTATGTCGAGCGGATAGGTCGCACCCTTAATATTTTGTGAAATTTTTGGTAAAAAATGTGTGACCTATCCATGTGTATATAAGGTATATCGGCTTATTAAGTCAACCCTGATGATTCTGAAATGCTAAATAAACCATCTATCGATCTCTACTGACTGGATAAGTCGACCACTCTGCAAAATAAAGCAGCACGTTCTTTTTTCTTTTGAGTTCAGAGAGTTGACATATAATATCCAATTTTATTTAGTATTATGCAATTCATTGTTTTTATAACAAAATTTGCATTAACCAATTGAAGTTGATAAGATTGTGGTGGAGATGATGTGCAAATTAACTATTTTGTCGGATCAAAAATGTTAGAAAAGTGTAGGTGAAGGTTGCGTAGGTGAATTAGCTATTTCCACACACAATTAAAACTTCTTCATTCAAAAACATTGATAATACAAAAATAGGACATGTTATAGACAAGCGTATGGTTGCAAGAAAGAAATACGACAACAGCAGAAATAGATTTACGTGGTTTATTTCAACAGGAACGTGTGGGTTTGGGACAGCTACCTTGTGGTAAAGTTGATAAGCCGGCTTCGGATCTAGGTCGATCTCTCATAGTAGTTCACACATGTTGACGGTGGTTGATGCTCCCCTGCTGTCAGCAACTGAACGTGACAGGTCTCTACCCTGGGCACATGTGGACTATATTTAGTCGTCCCCCCACGAGGGCGTCATGTGGCACAAGACCTTTTTAACGTGGGCATTTCCGAGCCATTAGGCTCAGCCAAAAAATAGCCCATTTGAAACCGTATAAACGGGTTCAGGGCTGGTTTTACCTCCCCGTAGCCTCCTTCGGGTTCCTCTCCGTCCGTGGACTGCCTGTTGAACTTCCGTGTGACCCCTTTTATAGCGTTGTTTTATGGCTTAACAGGCTCGAAAAACGAAGAAGCGAGTATAATTAGGAGGGAAGCGTTTTTATTGGACGAAAAATAGAACACTTTAAATAATATTTTATTTTTCGACCGGAACTCGAGTGTCGGGAACATTTGTAAATGAAGATAATAGTCATTTTGTGACGGGGTTTTGTCCCGTTCACATCCGGCTCTCGCTCTTGCGTATATGCCTGTAAATCAGCCGAGATACGCCTTATTTTTTTTTTTATAACAGACACAAACAACAAATCTCATATAACAACAACAATAATATTTTATACAACATAAAATAAACAATATGTGTTGGCTGGATTTTTTAGTGATTCAGAGATTTGGCTGGTGGATTTTAAATTGCTTTTTAAAACTCTTATGTTCAGTGTCATGTGAGGTTGAGTTCACTGAATTGAATGTTATGTCTTATATAATGTGTGAAATTTCGATAGGATTTGTTATTAGATAAATTTGTTTAAATTGAATTTTAAACAGTTTGTGACAGTTTCTGAAATGAAATTCGTAATGTAAGAGTTAGTAACAAGAGTTGTCTTCCTTTGACAATATGTTTGTGTATGTTAAAGAATGCATAAAAATATCTTACAAGAATTCTGGAAGTTAGTTTGTTCTTCAGTCAAGAATTAAACTTGATGAACAATAAATTTCGTTGTAAGACTGTTCTGTAGAATCAGTCAAGATGTGATACTGTGATTGAGAAGTTTTCAGTAAGTTATAAATGAATCCAGTTGGTGAGTCAGTGATTGAGTTGAATGTTTTAACTTGAATTAGAATGAAGTTATTTTGTGTTGAAGAAATTAAAATTCTAACTTTGTACTTCAATGATACAAGTGTTGTAAAGTGGTTTGGCAAATGCTAGTTGTGTGAAAATTCTGGCGAGATTCACTTGTATATTCAGTTTATTTTTTTTTTAGTCACATGACAGGCTTGCGAACACATTTAAAAATTTTGGTGGTCAACTCACTTTAAACATTACTGCATAGACGTTGTTGCCATTTTTCATATATATTCACCAGTGTCAGCAATAGTATTTGAAAAAAAAAAATTGGATCCACTTTGTGTTTCAGTTGTACAAAATTTGTTATCAGCAAGAGTAAATACACAGTAAATCTACTCAGATATTTATTATCCAACAAAATTCAGTAAATGAAAATAATGTGATAATTAGATATTAAAAATTAGTGCAGAGAGGTTAAACTCTATAAGATTAACAGGATATACTTACAATTTGAATTTCAGCATATATCTATTTTTATTAAAAATATTTACAATTTTGATATGATTATGCAACTCAAGAATGATTATTGATGTCTGAAAGAAAGTGCAAATTCCAGTAATGTTCTTAAGAGTGTATATGTAAAAAAGGAAGGAAATGTTGAATTTACTCTGTTGGTGAGTTAGAGAGCAAGTGGGGGTGTCTAGTCTGTTGCAGGAATGGAAAATTTTATCATGTTATCCTTCTTGGTACATTTGTCTCACAAACAATATTTAGTGAACTCATATGAGTCCAGGTAAATTGTTGTTGAGCCTATTGAAGGAATCAAACTGAACTAGAAATACAGCTTGATAAAATTTCATAAAATACAGATGAAAATATCTCTTGCAGATCATCAAATAAAAACATCTGTATATGCATACACATTCTCTTTCATATATGTGCACATATTATTTATACTATTTATATGCAGACTATTTTCCTCATCTCTGTTGTTGTTACCACAACAATGGCTAAGGTACTAAAAATTGGATGTGAGAATTAGCAAAAAACACTGCCACATTCACATTAAGAATTACCTAAGTTTGGAGAGCTTTGAATCAAATTATTTTATTAGGCTTGATAATAAGGCATCTATGCATGAATGATGCCTTTATAAATAATTTGAATAATTTTACAGATTTCCTCTGATACCTTGTATTCATTTGTATTATTTTTTATTTTGCTATTTAAATGTCCTGTAATTTCTAATAGGAACATATCTGTATATGTTAATGTTAAGATATGCATTTGATACAGACTTACTTTAAATTCAGTGCAAATCCACTGAAGAGGATCAATAATATCTGCATGGCACTCGAAGTGAAATTAATCATTATTTACCCATCTTTAGAGAACAAAACTCTCAGTTGCTTACTAATCCAATGAAAAAGTCTTTCTTTTAATTCAAATGAGATTATTAAATCAGTAAAGTTAATTATTTCAACTGTGAAATAAGACAATTTTGTTTATTAATATAACATTACAATAGTATATTTTATAGTTGAAATAATTAAAATGTCCAATTGTAAGATTGTATTCAATGAATATTTTATCACAAGCACAAAAAGATGAATATATAACTTAACTCACTTTGGTAATCCTCATTAATTATTAAACCTAATAAGCCCTAAGGTGGAAGTAGCTGCAGGAGGTTTATAATTTTGCCGAGTTTGAATTCTAGTCAAATCCATTACATTCACTTGTGTGCTAATACCCTTGAGAAAGGTCTGAATCCTCTTCTTTTCCCCCAGCTATGGGTAAATATCAGGACAGACTGGGTTCTATAGCCTTGGATGGCAACTGGTCTACCACAGAAAGAAATGGCAACTTACTGTATCATGCATGGCACATAACTGTATAAGGAAGAAGGAAAAAAAAAAGCAACACACAAAAATAAAACACAGAAAAAATTGATTAGTAAATAATTCAATGTCATCAGCTTCATCTTGCATCCAAAAATTTAATCTATTCTTTTCTGATTGTTTCCTTTTTGATGATGGCGACGACTTAGTAGATCAATTCTTGCATCAAAGAGCTGATGGCATTGATTGCAAAGTAATATCGGTGGAGGATAAGGTTGATTTTGTCATGTCTTTCTTTCTTGTTGTTTGACTTTTTCCTTTTCTTTTCTGGTGATGGAACATCTCCAGTTGGTATAGTCTTGTGTATATGTTTCAAGCGATTTATGCTCAAGTCCATTGGCTTTCAGTGTTGTTTTGAGTTGGTCCTCATATCTTTGAAGAGGGTAACCCTGTGGTCTTTTCCCTAAAATGAGCTCACTGAATAAGACTTGTCATGAAAA